TCTGCCTTTTCTTTTGCTCTTTTTGGCCCCCACTCCTGGTTGAATTTTTTTCTTTTTTCAAATTGTTTCTTTGGCCCAAACTGCAATTTTCGTTGAGGCGTTGGCTAAAGCATTTGTTCGTTTGGCCTCTCGCCGTAGCCTAGCATTCGAGTCTTTTCTGCCACTCTTCGATTCTGAAACTGACCTCCCAGACGGTATAGTGGTTAGGGTCGCCTGACTGCGATACCAAAGGACCCTGTTTCGAATCCTGGAGAAGGCATGGATGTAAAATTATCTATCCCTTCATAGGAGGTAGCAGTCGCCGCCTATTAAATTCTTTCAGAATAAAATGGCCGCCACTTCTGGCTTTAGTAGTGGTCAATGCTGTTATAGACAATTGCTCGCCATTGGAAAAAGAATTCTGAAACTTAGTGGTTAAGCCGAATAAGCTTTCCAACGTTGTTGGATTTAGGAGCTCAAGATAATCCTAGACTTGGGGTAGTAATCGTAGCAAAATCACTTGAATGATTTCTTCATCCGGCCTCTTGCCGTACGACAAATAAAAAATTTGGACTTTTCTTAGAATAAAGTCTTTTAAATCTACAGTTGTCAATTGGAATTTACTAAATAGCTCCTAATCGAATTTGGCTCTATCCTTGAAAATGGGAAACGCTTTAATTAGCGAGTTTTTGAAATTTTCGAAGGTGCAGCTCTAGTTTCCAAACTCATCCAACACGAATTTTACAATTCACTTATACCCCATAGAAGGCCTGGCTTCTAACAGCGCATGTACCAATGGTAACTAACTTTCCGTGCCTCTGGCACCGGATGCAGTAAGGAATTTAACTATTTGATAAAATTTAGAATTAGAGTCTTTCTATCAAAAGTTTCTGCTTGGCTTCATAGCAGGTATGGACATTAAATCAAAATCCCTCCATGGGATTAACTGTGGCCGACGAGACTTGCGACGTTGAGATTATAATAAACGGTGAAGGTTCCTGTGACATAGTTCTCTTTATTGTTCGGGAACCAGTATAACGTCTCGTATGCTTTTTCTATCATAAACTAAGCTCGACGTTAGAAGGCTGTTTAGAGAATAATCTGTAAGTCTTGAAGTACGACAAAGCCAGGGAAAGGGTATAAAGAAGCCTTTATTAACACAAATAAAGTTCACAGATATTACTTGTGCTTACAAAAGCGAAAACTTTTGGCTTACCTATAAAAGGTGATGAATAACTTAAAATTAAATGAACATAAGTTAACCTAACGACTTCACAGGCTAAATATCGAGTAATCTGGCTCTTACTCGAAAAGTAAGCGTCGTAAACAAGCTTAATGGCAAGAAAGCTCAGTGCCACAGAAATCTAATCGCTAGAAAAACAAAGGTAGCAAAGTGGATTCAGGTAGGTAGAACACTCTTTGATTTCACCTTCCAAAACCTTTCCTTAAATACTAACTTCTTTCTATCTTATTTGAATACACGCGCGCTAGACAATTTCCGTTCTGTCAAGAAAGTGTGAGTTGAAAGCAAGAGCGATAGGAAAGTCACTTAAACATAAAATAACTTTTAAATAAATCCCCGAAATGTTAAATTTTAAACTTTAATTTGTGTCTTTGTCTGTTTAGAAACAGTTTGTTTTATTTATTTACTTCTTTCATTGCACCAAACCCTGGTAACGATGCAGGGAAAGATGTAAATTTAAATTTCTTTTTTTTTTTCCGGCATATCTTGCCCCATTTCTTGCGGTTTGCCACTGTGCTTTTTTTTTTTTTTTTTTTTTTTTTTTTTTTTTTTTGTTGCTGTTGTTTTTGCTTTTGGTTTGCGTTTGGCTACACCCGAATTGAGTATGGGATGAATTTTAAAATTATTTTTGATTTTATTTTATTTTGCATTATAAATACAATACGTATATGTATAGTACCATTAATAATGAACGAATATAACTGTTCTTATCTGTAAATGAAGCATTATATGAAATAATTGTATTAATATGTTTTGATTTTATGGAAGAAATAATTTCATCTCATTCATTCCGAATAAAATCTGCATGGTTTTAATGATCTCGAATTAGCTTCTTCCTCAGCATGAATCATGTAGTAGCATATCAATAAAAGACTAGGCGTACTGGTAGTGCACATCTGCTGTTCATGGGCATTTCAAAGATACAGAGCTCCGTCTCGACCCTTTTACATAATGCACAGAGTTTGCTGGATGTTAATTTCTTTTCACAGAAGTAGGTTGGAACATGCCCTATGATGAAAAGATTTAAGAAAAAAAATTGATGAATATGCTTCGTTTTTCCGACTTAAATGAAAAAAAGAAAAATCCCACATTATTGTCTTGCTTGTTCCCATTCTCTCTGACATATATATTTGAGCTTATGCGCTGCTAGAAGTATTACTAAGTGGAAATTTGGTCATTTCTCCAGAATATGATGTACGTTGTTCTACGCACTTTCCTTTCCGCACTGCGTATTCATTTTGCTTGTGCCCTACGTACGTACGAACCTTTCTGATTCTTATTTTGGGGATGGGTACGACTGGGTTTGCAGCGAACGAAGCCCACTTGAACACTACTTCTTCTCATACTCATTAACAAAAGTACAATGTAGTGTCAGACCAACTGAAAAATGAACTCGAGTTTCGAAAATAATGCAAAAATCCATTGCAAAATCAAGTATTATTAAATACCTTTAGAACAGGGTCAAAATATTTGTTAGAAAACGGTCATTATTTTATGCACGTAGTCTTATAAATAATAATTGCATGGAAATGTTTTCAAAGCTAGCACAGAGCCTTTGCAAGATGCTTCACTGTATCAGTAGCGTTGCGCGACAATATATGGTATTGTTTCTGGTCTCCCGTTTGCATATTCCTGTCCTATTCTTGCCATTGACTGCGAAAACCGGATGACTTTCAACTGACTTTTCTTCTGAGATTTTTGATTTCTATTGTTGACTTAGATCACTGCTAGCCTTTCACATATAATCTTTATTTAAACATAATACACAGAATAATAAACATCATAATCCAAGCTTCGAAACGGGCACACTTGCTTTTCAAATGTATCAACCATCAGTTTCACATATTCAAAATATTACGATTGATGATAAAGAGAATTTGCAGAGTACATGTTTACAACAGAAAAGGCATACTGTGTTACTGTTACAGATTAAAAATCTGTGAAGCTGCTTTATTCTCCTATAGAGGCACGTAGTATACCTTTATTTTAAATTACTAAAAGGTTTGGTTTGAGTACCGTAGATGAAATGCTTTTACTTTCACTTTTGCGATAGTGTAAGTATATACGCCACCTGCTTTACACAAAAATCATGTGATAGTTACTAATTTTACGATGAGGCGCTCCAGAAGTATTTAATACAATAATATATTACTACTTTTAGGATAGAAAAGGGAAACGAAGTAGCTACTCTACAGGGTTCTAAGGTTTTTAACGTTAATATTTATTTTCAAGTCCTTCTTACCTTGTAAGACTGACGAGTTATTTCTAGGTCTGAAAATTTATGACAAAAGTCTTGAGACGGTTGTTTTAAATAACTTTTTATTTAATCATCAAACGAGCAGAAAGCACAGCTTATCCGTGTATGGTAAACGCTGCCCCTTGAAGGTATTTAAAAAATATTCAAAACCGTCGATTTTAATATTCGCACAACTAATTTCATTCTGATGAGGCCTATGGAAAGGAGAATTTATAGTAAATGATTTAAATCATAACAATTGTTTAAATTGTTTATTTAATATAAAATGCTCTAGACCTTAAAAAAGGCGCATAGAGCGATTTTAGAGTACCTCCTTCGAGTAGCTGCTCCTTTTTAGTCGCAATCCCATAAATAAAATACATGTTCCTATCACTGTGTTCGTGTAGAATGCCTCTCAAAATTCGCAACTAGAAAGACGATTTATGCCAGCAAAATGCTTCAACTGAAGCTCAACCTTAAACTAGCATTAAAGGTTGTAGAGACATTAGGTATTTTTTGGAAGCAGGAAAGATAAAAAATTAGCAACGCCTTCGCCGGGAATCGAACCGCGGACCTCTTAATTACTCGCTAAGCGTGGAGACCACTACACCACGAAGGCTCGTTAAGAAGGCAGGAGAAATACTTTATAAGGTTTTGTATATTTCAGAACTCTTTTTGTAATATCTGACTTGTAATAAAGTAAAATTTTTAAAGACTGAATAAAAACGACTTTATGGGTGCTTTTATTTTTTATATAATAGTTACGACCAAAACTTTTCCTTTTTCTTAATAAATTTTAAAAATATGTTCAATTACTAGTATTTACCATATAAGTACTTAATCATTAGTTACCCTTCTTTAAAGCGTTGATTTGTTTATTCCAAATGCATGTATATTTTTTAAGAAGTTTCCTTATACTTAACAATTTTTTATAGAAATACATTAACACAAGCACAATGCAGTAATTTCTGTTTCTAAACCTTACTCTTTTTGAAGGGGAATTATATACAAAACAGAATTAGGTAAAATACGATCTTTGTATTGCTCTTCTTCTCATTTTGGTTATTTTTATTTTCAAGTCTAAAAATAGCAGTTTCTTAAAATAAATCGCTCTAAACTGCATCATTTTAAAAGTAAACTTTTCGCATGATTTTTACTTCTTTCAGCCAATCATAATATTCATATTTATTATCTGCTTACACTTATTAGTAATCTTTTAATTATTAGTTATCGTTTTAAATGTGTCTTTCAAACGTATACGTTTTTAATGTTTATATAATGTCACCTTTGTTACTAGGGTTAATAGGGCTGTCGTCACATTTATTTTAGGAGTCTTTTATATGTATGATTTAAATATGTCTTTGTTCCAGCTTACTAAAATATTATACTTATTATAGATGCATATCTAAAAGTTTAACCACGATTTTATTGCGTATTTGAAACAGAATTTACTGTTGCTACAGCAGATTCATGAAATGTGTACTCTGAATTACATTTGTGATAGAAAGGAAGTATTTCCATCAGAAATCAAAGGACACTTTATTTGGTAAAAGGTGATATTTATTTAACATTTGCAATATGATTTTTTCCGTTTTTCGTTCACAATGATGAACTCTTAAACACAGTCAACAGACTGCATTAAGTGAATGAAACATACACCAATAACAACAGTTCAAATAACAATCAACATTATAATATATGAAGCTATAAAGAAACGAATACAATATATTTTCACAAATTTGTACAGAATAATCGCATTACATATCATCTAGAGACAATTAAACAATAACCAATGCTTTTACATAATTTAAGACATAATTTTTTTTTTAATTTGAGAAATAATTTTGTAAGAAGCTAAAAAATAAGTGTGTAGTAACATTTGAATTCACGATACAAGAAAATTAGCATACAGTAGCAGTTGTACAGTTGGCTTATTACTTCGTCATCAAGAAGTCAGCGCCCGTTTTCTAAAATGTTACTGCATTTACTGTTGTATTTATTGTCATTACTTCGTTTAAAACACACTTTGTATGTGTTAAAAATAATCCATTACATCTATTTTTCATGTGATTTCTCAAAAAATTACAAAACATGAGGGAGCTTTCTTTTTTGAAAACCTAACCAAAATACCGTTTTCCATTTGTCTGGATGTCCCGAACTTCCTTAACAGTGTGGTAGTCAAGCTTACACCTGATAGAAGTGAAATTATGAGGAATATTTTGTTCCACTTCAAAGTCATAAGTCTTTATATTGAGCAAGAAAAGTTTTAAATCAAGTAAGAGTTGAAATTACTGATTTTCTTTTTTATCAGAAGAAGCAATATTAAAAAAATAATGTCTTAAAGCTCACTGAGGACAATAATCGCAGAGCCAATAAAAGGAAAAATAAGAGGTAAGCTTTTAAAAAAATTGATTCCATTTTCATCTTAAAATAACGCCATTATTTTAAGATTAAATATGCAATAAAAATATCATCGTTAAGTATACACATAGTAAAGAAGATTGAAAAGCACTGTTGTCCGAAAAAGTACTTTTCCGCAGGCTATGACTAAGTCATACTGTGACTAAATTATTTCAGTTACTTCCGAAATAACAACTCGAACATACTTTTAAGTCAGTTAGCGGCATTCTCGTCTATCAAAGCTTAAGGAATGATAATTACTTGGGAGAATTAAAGTATTTAACTAGTCTTTAAATTATGCTCATCAAATGACAGTATCCTAATCACATATAACAGAAGCTATTCTCTACTTATACTAGTACCTTGAACTAGCTGTCGCATTCTCTACTTTCTCGCTATTCTCTACTTATACTAGTACCTTGAACTAGGTGTAGTACTAGCTGTCGCATTTCCAGTTTGTCCTACTATATATAGAATCAGCTTAATTATCGTAGTTATTAAACACATATATTAGGATATAATGTTCAGTTTATATGCACAGTAACAATGGTAGCTATTATTTAATTGTGAAGAAAGGTTATTTTAATGCCTTTAAATTTTTTACTTTTTATCATGATTTTGGGTCTAAACGACTAAGTAGTTAATTACTTTGTGGCTGTAACTTCATTTGCTGTAGTATAGTTTTTGAGTTTATGAAAGTATACTGTTTTGAAATTTAGTTGATAAGGAAGAAATGACTTGACATTGATAAATACCATCGACAAAGAAATTCTGGAAGTTTAAGAATACAAAGAAATTAAAAGACTGGCATACGATGTTGATTGAGTTAAAAAAGAATGAGCTGAATAATTATGCTGGTAAAGTTATAACTAAAAAGCTACGTAGGTTTGAGTTCATATTTCTGTTTTGAACGGACTGAAGAAAGATTCAATGAGGAAAGCAGCAAATTTATCATTCTTCAGAAATATTCTATGTTAATGATCTTGTTAAAATTTCCTCTCTCAGTCGAATGCACAAGTCAGTACGTGTAAAAGGATAACTAAGGTTTCAGGTGGTTTTCGCAAATTAGTGTGTCAAATAAAAATGTTTTTGTTTGGCAAACACACGATATGTTGTTTTTAATAATTAATTTTTGCGCTATGCTGCATTTTTAGCTCACATCTCTTTATCTGATTCGAGGTAAAAGAGTATCTGTTCCAAGGTGCAGAATGTTTGTGTATTTTGAAGCACTTCTGTTAAATTTAAAACGCATTACTTTAATAAGGTAATTACAGTCATAACAGAAAAAAAGGCCATTGTAAATTATAGTTAAAATACTATATACTGCATTTAAACAAAATCTATATCCCGCATATTCATTTTAAATGTTATCATTTTCAGCCCTATCCTTGTTTTCAAACTTTCTGCTGTCTGAAAGTTTAGAAATTACACCCAACATTACAGTTATTGTAAATTTATAATGTTTTCAGTCAATTTCGTAATAGTCAAGATTTATGAAGTAGTGGAGCACTGAACTACCTAAGACAAATTTTGCTCTTTTCAAAGGCAATAAATTTTAATATTTGAAAATATTTAGTGAGAAATTTAAATATTTGTTTCGATAACATAATGAGCTGTTATGACATTACTGAAAGATTCATTTACTTAACTAAATGTGGATTCATCTGTCACTCCTATAAAGGATTTAGGAAAAAAAAAGCAATTATTTTTTTTATTTTCCATGCATCGAAAAGTTATAAGGACTTTTTTTCTTAATTTTTATGTGGATGATTTCATAAGAAATTTGATGAGAAACAAATTTATTATTTACAGAAATGAAGTATAGTAACTCAAAACTAAAAAATACTTTTTGGAGAGAGGGAGAATGGGGGCGTATAAACAAAGGATAGAACTAGAATACGTTTCATTTCCACAAATGTAGATCATTACGTGCAAAGAAATTATGAACAAAGACTGCCATACGAAGAAAAAATAAGAAACGATACATATGGCACAACTTTTTCACATACAGAAGAAATCAAAAACAAAAAAAAAAAAAAAGACTAGATACATTTTTAAGTTACTTTCCAAAACTGCGTAAAATTATCAAGCAAAGATAAGCACTTGCACGCTAATTGAAACTGTTGATAAAAAAGTTATTATAAACATTCTTGGCTCAGTGACAAATATACAGCAAATAATTCTAACAGCATTATACATCAGAAATACTTTAACATGAACATACACACAGATACACACACACACACACACATATATATATATATATACAAAAGTTGGATTTATAAACAAAGTATCTGCAATAAATTGTTCTGAACAACAGTAGCTTATAAAAATATAAAACGGTTTCTGAGCAGTAATGGTAATATGGCACATTTTCGTTATTGAGTGTAGGTATAATAAGTAAGAAAATGTGAATAAACTTATTTGCTCTTGTAAACACCTAATCAAACTAATAATTTGGCACGTTGTTCTATTACGCAAAGATCCTGCTTACGTCTTGATTTAAATCAACTGATTTATTTCATATGCTTTAAAATGATATTATTGTTAAGTTATTGCTGTCTTATTCAGTTCCTGCACATCTTTTAGGATGTCTAAAATACAGACGCAAATCGTCATTTTGCACAAGATAATCTTACATTATTCAAAAAGTAAATTCTACCTAAAATTTGCATCAAAATACTTTCGTTTATTAAAAAATTTCGTATAAATTTAGTTCACATTTATTCGTTTTTAATAAAGATTTTTTTCGGACGTATTTAATTTGCAGGTAATTGTAATGATGATAAGCTAATTTATTTATTTACAAATCATTCATTGTATTTCAGTTAATTGCAATGACGATAAGCTGATTTATGTATTCACAAGTTGATTCATTCATTACATCATGTTGTCATTCTTTTTAATACAGTTGAATAGCATATTGTCAGTTTTGTTTCAGGCTAGTTTGAGTTGTTTTAATGCGAGATGCAGTGGAGAATAAAACAAGTACTGCTGTTAAAAAGAGATTATATATATATAAAAAGGTTTTATAGTTCAGTTTGCAATTCAGTTATAGCTATAGTTCAGTTTATAGTTCAGTTATATTTAGGGTTCAGTTTTGCGAAGTTTAGCATATAGAAATTTTTATTTGGACTTGTGTATAAAAATATAAATATGTATTTTTTTAATTTTGCAGTTATTGAATTGTATTAACTTAAAGCCGGCCAAGCATTCAAACCCAGCAATACTTAGCCAGTTTACTGGTTGTTTATTCCTTTCATAAAAGCATTCCTGCCCAGGTAGAGAGTCCTCGTTTCTTTTGTTACAGTAAATTACCTGCCAGTAGTAGAATTCATATACAGTATTGTGTACTGTAGAATTCTCAGTTTGAGCATTATAATAATAATAATGGTCAAGCTGAGAATTGTTTGCCCAGCCACCCTTTATTTCTATCATTGGAGAGTTATAGTAGCGCTAAAGTGGTACCTATAAAATGGAAAACTATTCTACTCTAAATAAAGTTTTATTTAAGTCATGGTAAGATTTCATCGCTTACATTATGAACTTACAATGTTCATAATGTACTCCTGGTAAATGTGATCGTATTCTTCTGCGAACATTTCGAGAAGTTTTAATTAAATTATTAATTTTAGTTGTAGATGATATACTTAGCCGCAGATTAATTAAAACGTTTATGTTCCTGTGCAAGCAATATCTTCTCCATCACATATAGCGATTCAATTAAAAAGGTTGATATAATAAATTTGTAAGGTATTTATGTTAATTAACTTGTTATTTTATGATACGAAATTTTACTGTCACTTCTCTCTCTCCGTTTTTCTGCAATTTTTACCTCGTGTGTATTTAAGTGAGAGTTTGAGAGTGTTTTAGTCAGAGCGTTCTGCTTATAAACGGCCGTGTTACAAGTTGTTAGTCTACGATAATCGTTTCTGTTTACGGCGTTTATTTAATCTTGACAAAAGTGCTGTCATGACAGTGTAGGTTAAAAGCCAACCTGTGCGTTTAACCATCTCCGCATAGCTTTTGGCCAACTAAGGTTTAGTTTTAATTTAAAATTCTACCTTTTGAGTTCACGCTATAAATGCTGGCTGGTTTGTACAGGAAATGTCTTCTATTCATCATATCTGAGTTCTTAATAAAAGGGTCTTTTACATTCTTACGTTTCTGTTTGCTTATCTAGACATAGCGATAAGTCATTTACGTCTACACAGGAGTCTCGACTTAGACGTATGTTACAAAACAAGTGGGACTCTACAAATTAATTACTAAATTAATTTTTCAAGAAAATATATCAGGTAGCCAACAGTGTTATGGTAAAGTTAATGTGATTCATGAGAGCAAATTTGCACATAGCAGACTCTAGCTAAGGCGACTGTGCTTTAAAAGATCCGTCCGTCGGCGGCAAATAATGCAGTAACGACTGAATACTGCTTTTAAAAGTTGTTCTGCATATTTTGTTTGTTGCCATATCTTTTTACGAGTAATGAGTAACTTTACAATTTCAGATTAATCCTTTCAAATTTTAAACTATATTCTAGAATATGTATTAGAAATCATTTGAATCTATATTTTCTAAACTTGTTGAGAGGGAGAGATATCTGTTAATTCATGTCACTAATTAATTGTCTAAGGAAATCAAGTGTATGTGATGAAAGCATTTGATAATGGTTTTTCAAGATTTCAACTAAATCAAATTCTTTTATCTAACAAAATGAGAATTTCTTTTGGAATAATTAATATGAAATGAAACAGTTGTGCCTATAGGCTTTTAAAACTTCTGCTCTTAACAACAAATCTTTTACGAAGTGATTAAGAACAATTTCATTTTAATTATTTTCTACTATGTTTCATACATTCTATGCTTATAGTGAAGGGAAGATATTTATACCGAAGTAAATATTTTTATATTTAGTGCAATTAACCGTACAAAATTCTTTAATTTGTAACAGCGGAATCAACTGATGATAAATTAAATTATAGGTAAATATATAAAAGGAAGCTTCTTTAAGTGTTGGCAAAGGATTAAGAAATTTTTTCCTTTTGAGTAAGAGACGACGGCATATTTAAACTTATAATTACTATCCATTACGAAACTAACTAGACTGCAACCTCATTACATTTTATATAGTAAATGTTTTCATATTTTCTAACTAGGAAGGCATGTGAAGTACCTTTTTAATGCTCAGAAATTGATGTAAGTATAGAAGCAGTAAGCGAAGATACTAAAATGTACGCCACAATAATACTTCCATTCACTAGCGGCGTGCAAAGTAGCCGTCAGGAGGTATACGAACGTTGCTTCTTTTTTTTTCTAGCACACACGTCTTATGTAGTAGATTTCTTTGGCAGAGTGTGATTATATAGTAAATAAAAAACACTTGGTGATTCTGAACAAAACTCTCAAGCCCACCTTTTCTATCAGACACTAGCATATTTTAATTTCAAGACAAGAAACACTTAAAAAATCTGTAATAAATCTGTTATTTTTTTTAATCTTTGGCTGAGCTTTGAGCAAAATATCAAAATATCATATTAAATCAGGAAACATTTTTCGAAGGGATTGTGAAAGGATGCACTGATGATATTCATAAAGCAAGAGTTTTAATTGGAACATACATTTTATCAATACCTCTTTATAAAAAGGAGGAGGCACCCGTGCTTCCTCTTTATTATCTGCTATTATTTATAACAATTAAAACACAGATTTTCTTAAGTTTATTGGAACATGCGCAAGTTCGATCGAGTGTTAACACATCCTCCATCATTATGCTTCAGAAGGAGGGACATTCTCGAAAATGTTTTACTACACGTATTGCAATTATATTTTTTGACATCTGAATGTGTTTGTAGGTGTGCTCTCAGGTTTGATCGATCTGCAAACGCTCGACTGCAATGGACACAGGAAAATGGCTTTTCGCCAGTATGGGTTCTGATATGCCCTTGCAACAGCCATGGTCTAGAAAATGCTTTTCCACATAAAGAACACTTGCATGGCAATGTGTGAGTGCGAATATGCATCTTAAGAGCTCCGAGTGAGACATATACTTTGTCACAGTATTTGCAACTGAATGCTTTTTTTGCCTGTGTGATACAGTGGAACTGTCGATGCCTAGAGAGTCCGCTGTATGTTGCATAACTTTTGTTGCAGTCGACACACTGGTATCGCGGGGCTTGAGTTGCTAAACACGAATTTCCAGTAGAACTGCTAACAATAGGCTTGTATTTGTTGCCTGCTGATTCTCTTCCTGATTCACTGCTGTCGGACCTCGATATCGGTGAGGTGGATCCCTCTTTGTGAATCCATGGTGTGAGAAATGAGGAATGATTTTTCACATGAATATCCAAATTATTCAAATGAGGCGGAGATTTCTCATAGCCGCTTGGTTCTGAGGGAATACAAGGAGACAATTCTATGCGAGGTGGAGAAGAGACGAGAGCAGTGCCTCCAAGATAGGGGCCTGTAGGATTACAGAATTCTGGTGCCGGACGAGGAAACGATAGGAAAGGGAATTGAATATATGGCGAGGGAAACACCGGCCGTGTCCAAGTTGCAGGTCTGGAATTAGGTGAGGTGCTAAAATTAAGAGCTTCCAAAGGTGCAACAGGTTTCAACACGTGACTAGGTGAAGGCGTTATCCTATCAATCAAAGCAACACCTATTGGCGGCGTTAAGTAATTAGGAATCACTATTTTTGGTGAAAACTGTGTGACAGTGGGTGGAGACGGTGTTTCTGGTGATGGAATTTCCTCATCTTTAACATCCGGCGTCTTTGGCTTCACACTCAAATCAAATGGACCTCTAGTTTCTGCAAATAAAAAAGAACATAGGTTCCGTATGAACGATATTATAAAAAAAATCACACTTAAATACATAGGTTCCGTATAAACGATATTATAAAAAAAATCACACTTAAATTGATGATAAGGATAGAACTAAAATACTGTTCGTATAAAATATAAGAAAAATAAGGTAAAATGTAGTAAAGAAAGAACAATGTAAAATTTTTACTGCGCAGTATATAGTGTGATGTATATTTAAAATAACTTTAACTTTAATGGCACTCATGCTATGCGATTCCGTTGTTGTGATGCACGTGTTACTGTGCTAGCTGAATGTCATGTGAACTGTTTAAAAATTGTAATAATAAAAGTTTTGAATTCTTGAGATATACTCATTAGTTGAGTCTTCTTTTAAAGTACAGAAGTAATTAAATTCAACAAACTACACAAGAAGTTACATGGTGTCAGGAGCAAAATGGATTTCAGACCACCTGCTCCGCTAACATTCTCCGTCGGAAATGTTAAAGAAAAATGGAAGAAATGGAAGCAAGAGCTAGAAAACTATTTACTTGCAACGGAAAAAGATGCCAAGCCAGATAAGACTAAAATTGCAATCCTTTTGAATTTACTCGGTACTGAAGGACTCGAAATTTATAACACGTTTCGATTTGAGCCACCTGAAAATAAGGAGAAGTACGAAGAGGTCTTGAAGTCTTTTGAAGATTATTGTTCACCACGGCAGAATGTCGTATATGAACGTTACAAATTCTTTTCGTGTAGCCAGCAAGAAGGACAAACAATTGAATGTTATGTCACTCAGTTAAAGACTTTAGCGTCAACTTGTGAGTTTGCTGAACAAGAAAATGGATTGATTCGCGACCGTATTGTATTAGGCATTCGGGATAGGAGTCTGACCGAACGTTTGCTTCGAGAATCTAACCTAGGATTAGAAAAAGCTATAGAAATAGTCCGTGCCGCTGAAACAAGCAAAGAGCAACTTCGGAACATGAAAGATGATCCAGCGACTGTGAACAGCGTGAAGAAATATAGAAAACAGCACCATCAATCAAAACAGTCAGCGTCACCGAAATTATCGTCGCAGCAGAAGCAATCAGCACTAGAATATGACTGCAAGAAGTGCGGAAGAAGGCACAAATATCGGGACTGTCCAGCTTTCGGAAAGACATATGCGAAATGCAAAGTAAAGAACCATTTTGCCGCGAGGTGTCCCAAGAACATTTATGAAGTTGGAATACCAAATAATGAACTTAGTATATATAATGAACATAGTGTATTTGTTGACTCTGTAATGATGAATCCACCAGTAAACGGGCATAGTGAATTTAAAATAAGTGCAAAATCAATCAAAGATCTAACAAATTCTATTGATGAAGTAAATAAGGATATTCACAAGGTAAGTGAAACATGGGTGAAAAGTATTACAATGTATGTAAATAATAAGTATTTCAAGGTTGATTTTAAGTTAGATACTGGTGCAGAAGTAAATATTTTGCCTTTGTATGTTTTAAATAATGTTAAACTTAAGCCTAAACTTAATGAAACTGATTTGTTCTTAACTGCATATGGTAATTTTAAGTTAAAACCAGAAGGTACTCTTATAATTAATTGTTCAACTGAAAGGCTTAAGAATGTACCTTTACAATTTTATGTTCTTGATGTAAGATCTAAGCCTATATTAGGGTTAACAGCTTGTTCTGCATTAAAGCTAATTGAAAGGATTGATTCTTTAAAGTGCAATATCATTAATAAAAATGATTTAATTGCTCAGTATAAAGATGTATTTACAGGCACAGGGCAATTTCCTGACGAACCATATCATATAACCCTTAAAGATGATGCAATACCAGTAATACACCCCCCAAGACGTGTTCCTCAGGCTTTACAGCCTAAATTAAAAGATACTTTAGATAAACTTGAAAAGAGAAGGGATAGTATCGAAAGTAAATAAACCAACTGATTGGGTTCAAAGTTTGGTTATAGTTGAAAAACCTAATGGGAGTCTGAGATTATGCTTGGATCCTAGAGATCTAAATAAAGTAATTAAAAGGGAACACTATCAAATTCCTTCTCCAGATGATATAATTAGTAGGTTAGAAGGTAAAAAAGTATTTTCAGTTGTAGATTTAAAAGATGGATTTTGGCATGTACCACTAGATGAAGCTAGTTCTGAACTATGTACATTTAATACTCCTTATGGAAGATATAAATTTAATAAAATGCCATTTGGAATATCCTCCGCCCCAGAAATATTTCAGAAAAGAAACCAAAAATTATTTGGTGATATTGAGGGTGTGGAAGTTTATTTTGATGATATCATAATTGCAGGATCTGATGAGGTTACTCATGATATAATTATCTCTAAGGTTCTTGAAAGAGCTAGGTCTCTAAATATAAAATTTAATCCTGATAAATTACAATATAGGGTACCGGAAGTCAAATATGTAGGCCAAATTATTTCTGAGTCAGGTGTAAAAGCCGATCCTAGTCATATTAAAGCAATTATTGATATGCCAACACCAAAATCAAAAACTGAAGTAAGGAGGTTGTTAGGAATGTTAAATTTTCTGTCAAAATTTATACCTAATGTCAAAATTTATACCTAATGTAAAGTTACTGCTCCTTTAAGAGAAATCATTCAAGAAAAGGTAGAATTTAATTGGGGAGAGAAACTCAGGAAAGAGTCATTTAACAACATCAAACAACTGCTAACCAAAGCTCCAATTTTAAAAGTTTTCAGTGGTAATGAAGATATAATTATACAGTGTGATAGTTCGAAGGATGGCCTAGGATCGTGTCTAATTCAAAAGGGTAAGCCTGTATCATTTGTGTCTCGCAGCCTGACTAACAGTGAAAAAAAAACTATGCACAGATCGAAAAAGAGCTATTGGCCATAGTATTTTCTTTTGAAAAGTACCACAATTTTGTTTATGGACGGAAAGTCACAGTACAAAGTGATCATAAACCGTTAATGGCAATTGTTAAGAAACCATTGCATAAAATCTCGTCTAGAATGCAAAGGATGATCTTAAAATTACTAAAGTATGATTTTGAGATAAATTATGTTCCAGGTAATCAAATGCTTTTTGCTGACACTTTGTCACGAGCATATCCTGTGAATGAAACTATTAGTGATGATCCTGAAATGCTAAATGTTGTTCACATTATTTCAAAATATTTGCCTATGAGTGAAAGAAGAGTGGTGCAATTTAGGAAAGAAACTGAATCAGATCCAGATTTGCAAATAGTTATGAAATATATTAAAGAGGGTTGGCCTAAATGTTACAAAAAAGTAGATAGTAGTGTAAAAACATACTTTAAAGTTAAAAATGATCTTTATATTAATGACGACTTGTTATTTATTAATGAAAAATTAGTTGTACCTTATGGTTTGAGAAAAGATATGTTGCAATTAATTCATGAAGCGCACTTTGGAATTGAGAAATGTAAAAGTAGAGCCCGTGAAATTTTTTACTGGCCAGGTATGACAAATGACATTGAGCAGCTTGTTTCCAAATGTGAAATATGTGAAAAATTCAGAAATAGAAATCAAAAAGAACCTCTAATGCAACATGAAATTCCAACTAAACCATTCGAAAAAATTGCCCTTGATATCTTGCAATTTGGTAATCAAAATTACTTAGTAGTTATCGATTATTACTCTAAATGGATTGAGGTTTCTAAGCATAAAAGATAAGACAGCAAATGAAATTATGATAAAGTTAAAATGCATCTTTGCCAGGTATGGTATTGCAAATGAAGTCGTTTGCGACAATAATCCCTGTAATAGCTACTTATTTAAGAAATTTGCTGAAGATTGGGATTTCGAACTTAAATTTAGTAGCCCCAGATATCCACAAAGTAATGGGTTGGCTGAAAAAGCTGTAGGAATAGTGAAAATATCATGAGAAAAGTGCAAGATATAAGTGTAGGCTTAATGGAATATCGAAATACCCCAATTAGTGGAATAAATTTGTCTCCTGCACAACTGTTACTTAAGATTCTTACAACTTGACTCATAATATTTCAAAATTTTATATTCGAGTTACAATTAGTTTTAAATCGGTTTCACTTGCTTGATTTTATATATCACTTTTCATCTACTGCTTTTTATATAATCATCTCTACGCAATGAAATCTTACAAAGAATCACCTTGCGATCGACCATTCATACGTTACATAAGTAAGTAATGCGTTACTGCAAATGACTCTATGGTTATTTGTCGAAACCGACATGCTTTTGCCTGGAGCTTACTAATGCAAACTAGCTCTTATTCAAATTGCATGTAGATACAGCTGCGAGAGACTTGCTTAGCTGCTCGCTCCGTTTCCTGCAATCTAGTCAGGAATGAGCTGCCTCTATTCAAAGATCTCATTAAACTTTAAGTAATAAATTACTGTCTGACTAATTTTAAAGTTATAAGGTATTTATTCCCTACTTTCTGCCTTCGTGGTGTAAAAGTAGCACACTCGGCGCGTATTCGAGAGGTCCAGGTTCGAGTACTGGCGAGGACATTGCTCATTTGTTATATCTCCTGCTTCAAAAATCCTAATGACTGTACAAAGTGATTCACAAAGTCAACAGTATTTCACTTCGAGGCGGTTTATTTTATGCATTTGTTTGTTTGTATATTTACGCACGTGTTCTGCTAATTTCCTCTTAGTTTCCGTCTATCCAAAGTTATCTCAGAGTAACCTATCTATGGCATTGGTCACAAACTGGCGACTCGCGTGCGGCCTCCAAAGTAATTTAAAGCGGCCCTTGAATACATATCTTGTAAATTAATTAGCATTATTATGACATTAATTATTATAAAAAGAATTTGAGAAAAGGTTTGGAGTTCTATTTTCACATTATTTTCATTGCCAATGAAAACGAACGTGTAACGTCCCAAAAAATCTAAAAATAAAGCTAATTAATTAACAGTGTGATATAAATCTTATTCAAAGATTTGAAGATACAGATGTGATTGCTGTTTTCACACTTGTTAAAAGATAAAAGCCGTCA